CGCGAGTTGTCCATTAAAGATGCTTCTATGTACAAGTACCCATCCTTCAGCTCAAGTTATATATCATCCTTGGTGTTCTACAGCAGAAGAAAGTGGATAATTGTGGGTCTATCGAGGCAGAGGAAAGTTGTCAGGACAACCCTTGGAAAGGACGACGGAGTAACGGAAGTGTGGGACAAAGGCGTATGGTCTATGGCGATAGATAATGAAAACCACATACTCTTCATGCTCCTCGATGTTGGAACGTTGACACGCTTGCATCTGCGCGGGAGTGAACACACTGTATTCAAGAATGTGTGGAACATGCGTTCGGTAACAGTCGATCCAAAACGCAAGAAGGTCTACGTTGGAAGCAGAGAAGAGATCATTGAATTGTCGTATGATTATAAGCAGAAGAAAGCCATGGTGAAGGGAAATCAGTTACATGCATATGATTTGGCATTTAATCCGTCAAATGATATGCTTTACTACATTGACGGCAAGGACATTAAGCAGACATCGGTGGTAGGTGGGGGCAACTCTGTTTTTACCACACTCATATACACTCCTCAGAGTTTGGTCTACAACGCGGGAAACATATTTGCCAGCGTTGCCGGTAACGTCATTGCCGTCGTAGACGCTAAGAAAGAACTCGCATACGTTGACGTTGATTATCCAAATACGACGCGGCTTGTGTTTGCTGCACTTTCCTGAAAGGCGATCTTACATACTAGTTGTGAGGCTGGGATTATTGATATAAATTGTCAGGAAAAAGAAACTATGCACACATGTTGGATGGTGGCTAAAATGAAACTAACAAGATGATGATGTATTTGATGCAGGTGGCATAGTCGTGGACCTTACGTTTGCGTTTGGAGAATGTTTTCAACCTGTTTCGATAACGTATGTATTTGTGTGTGTAGTGTTGGGGGTAGTGGGGTTGTGGTGTGTGTGTGTGTGTGGGGGGGGGGGGGGGGGGGTTATTGTGCCTCGGGTTTTACCCATGACATCCTGCAATATATCATATAGTGTTCGAGGCGGTGGGGTAGCCTAGTGGTTAAAGTGTTCGCTCCTCACGCCGAAGACCCGGGTTCGATTCCCGACATGGGTACAATGTGTGAAGCCCATGTCTGGTGTCCCCAGCCGTGATATTGCTGGAAAATTGCTAAAAGCGGCGTAAAACCATAGTCACTCTCTCACTCACTCATATAGCGTTCACAGATATGACTTGGGTCATTGCACTACGTGCTATGATGCACAGGTCTGCCAGTTACATTGAGTGAGTTGGGTTTATCGCTGGTTTTAACAGTATTCCAGTTATATCGCGGCGTGTCAGCTTAATGTAGGAGGAAAGACCGAAGTGATGCAGGTCTCAGACGTTTACCACTTCGGTGAAACCCACGAGCACGGGTATGGTGCTGACAAACCTAGAAACATCATCGGGGCGAACCGGGATTCGAACCCACAATCATAGGTTTCTGGTGTGCCCAAGGGACGCAACTCTGCACTGGGAATCGCGGCGCCTTAGACGGCTGGGCCACCCGTGCCCCCTCACACAAACATAATAAGTTGAATGTACATTTGGCATTGACAGCATTCAATAAAATAATCTGAAGCGCCTTTAAAAGGTCCACTCTCTTCTGTTAACTCAATGGCCTTCCACTAAGATGTTAAGAGACTTCCTGCGTCTCGTAGCAGTTTGAACCCTACGACGGCCGTAAAGCAAATACTTCACCGCGATAGTCGAATAGTGACCCAGAACCCGGTTCCACAAAGCGATCGTAGATCTACGATTGTCTTGATTATGTTAAAATACGAATTTTGTTTTTTTCTTGTTTAACGCCGCACTCAGCAATATTCCAGCTATATGACGGCGGTCAGTGAATAATCGTGTTTGGACCAGACAATCCAGTGATTGACATCATGAGCAGTGATCTACGCATTTGGGATACGATGACATGCACCAACCAAGTCAGCGAGCCTGACCACCCGATCCCGTTAGTCGCTTTGGCCTCTTACGCCAAGCGTAGCCGCCTTTTACGACAAGCATGGGTTGCTGAAGACCTGTTCTACCCCGGATATTCACGGATCAATCACAGCATGAACCTTGAAAGTTGTACTATTTCTTCTGTTACAGTTTGTACATGTGTACAATAGGTGAGGTGGGTGAGGTGAAATTGGGTTTAAGGTCGCGTCCAAGATTATTTAACTTATGTAGCGACGTGTACTAGTCCGGACTGATGTCGATTTATAGTGCTAGCTCACTGAGATACCATGCCGCAGTTTAACATGAATACCCCACTCAGACACATTATACTGCCTCCGAGCCGACCAGTCCTTGTTTTAGCCCCTTAATGACGAGCGCTTGACAGGGTAACAACAAGTACCATCTTTTAACGTCTTTTGATATGACGCGGTCGGGGATCGAACCCCGGATCTTCCGCTCTCTGGGCGGACACTCTACCACTAGACCACGGAGGCGGTCGTGTACAATAAGTCTGTATACGAGATAGCCAGTAAACTCACTGAAGAAATGTTGCCAATGAATATCAATCGGTTGTATCAATACAGAAGCAAGGATTGTCAACCAACCCAAATTCAAACGTGGAATAAAAATATTCAAGACAAGAGGACAAGATATGTTTTTAATTCCCTACCTTTATCACCAAATTTATTTACATGCACACCATAACATGTTGAGCAAATATTCAGATAAATGAGTGAGTGAGTTTTTCGAAGCGTAAAGTTTTTCACCGTTCTACCAATGTGTGAACTCGAGCCTAAGCTTGACAGTGTGGAACTGCTGATAGACTTTCAGTCATCTGGGCAAAACATGAGCATTTCGTTATTTATCAAAGTAATGACATATTGTCAAACAGAAGCTCTGTAAGAAACAAAGGCAGATTCAAGACGAATCCTCTATATAAAACACACCGGCGAATCAAGGTGAGGTGAGATGGGGTTTAACGCCGCGTCCAAGATTATTGCACTTATATAGCGACGTGCATGTACGTGTGTGCGTTTGTGTGGCTGCTTGTACTAGTCCGGACTGATGCCGATTTATAGTGCTAGCTCACTGAGATACCATGCCGCAGTTTAACATGAATACCCCGCTCAGACACATTATACTGACTCCGAGCCGACCAGTCCTTGTTTTAGCCCCTTAATGCCGAGTACCATATTTTAACGTATTTTGGTATGACGCGGTCGGGGATCGAACCCCGGACCTTCCGCTCTCCGGGCGGACGCTCTACCACTAGACCACGGAGGCGGTCCCCGGCGAATCAAGATAACACTGGAGTGACATTATGCATGAAGTACCAGATGACCGTGATCTGTAATAAAATATGTAGGTCACGGCAATCTCATAACAATCATATCCTTAGTGAGTGAGCGAGTGAGTGAGTTGGCTTTAACGCCGCTTTTAACCAGTTATATCGCGGCGTGTCAGCTTAGTGTGGGAGGAAAGCCCGAAGTGATGCAGGTCTCAGACGTTTACCACTTCCGTGAAACCCACGAGCATGGGTACGGTGCTGACAAACCTAGAAACATAATCGGGGCGAACCGGGATTCGAACCCACAATCATAGGTTTCTGGCGTGCCCAAGGGACGCAACTCTGCACAGCGAATCACCCGTGTCCCCAATTATAACTTTATCCGTTTGGATACCTCTGTGCCGGCAGATGTGAGGGCATCTGCACAGGAGGTGTTCTCCTAATCAGCAATTCAGAGTCGAGGCTTCCAAATTCTCGGACGAGGGAGATGAGCATTCGTTTTCTTGTTTGTTTGTTTGTTGTTTAAAGCCGCTCTCAGCAATATTCCAACTATATGACGGCGGACTGTAAATAATCGAGTCTGGACACGACAATCCCGTGATTGGTATCATGAGTATCGGTCCATGCAATTGGGAAACAAAGACATGCATCAACCAAGTCAGCGAGCCTGACCACCCGATCCCGTTAGTCGCCTCTTACAAGCATATATAGTCGCCTTTTACGGCAAGTATGGGTTGCTGAAGATCTATTCTAACCCGGGATATTCACGGGCGGATATGCATTCAGACCTGCATGCCTGCTTTCATTATCTCGAAAACAAAGTTAATCGGCCAGTTCGAAATGTAAACAATTAATCCCGCGCTATCATAGTGTTGTGAATATAGTTTTCACCATGGTGTATCTGAGCGATATGGCCTCTACACCCAAAAGGATGAACCTTTGAGGGAATATCGGGGTCCCATGAGGGCATTCTTTTCAAAAAAACGAAATTTCGAATTGAGATGGTGAGGTAGTTTTACAAAGCTGACATCTGATTGTTTCAAGAAACCACGCTTCCTTCATTTCGATTGGTTGGCTGCTGGCGATCTACAGCCCGTTTTTATATTGTATCGTCTGTTATAATCTGATTATTTTATTATTCTAAAACTAGTTTTACAATTATAGTCTGTGATATATTGCTAGTTGTTGTACTGCCCTTCGACGACGGGTCTTAATATATTATATAAATACATAACTTGCTTAAGTCACGATATGGCTGAAATAATGCCGATGTGACTTTAAATATTAACTCACTCACTCACTCATTTCGATTTGGGGTAATCCAGGGTACACATGACGCGACCTTTTAAGGACGTGTCGTCAGTTCTTCACATCCTATAGGAGTAAAAGATCTGATTTTCATGAGTTTGAAGCCAAGGTGACAATGCCACAATCGCCCTTATTTCCGAAATCGTGGATGCAAGTGGCTCACTTGCACATAAGCATATTTTGTAGTCATTCCGCACACGCCTTACAGAACAGCAGAGTAGCGTCCCTTGGCAATATGTGAGGCACTGACCGTTTTCGAACTACACATTGAGTGAGTGAGTGATTGAGTTGGGCTTAAGGCCGCTTTTAACAGTGTTCCAGTTATATAACGGCGTGTCAGCTTAATTTGGGAGGAAAGCCCAAAGTGAAGCAGGTCTCAGACGTTTACCACTTCGGTGAAACCCACGAGCACGGGTATGGTGCTGACCTAGAAACATAATCGGGGTGAACCGGGATTCGAACCCACAATCATAGGTTTCTGGCGTGCCCATGGGACGCAACGCTGCACAGCGAACCGCGGCGCCTTAGACGACTGGGCCACCCGTGCCCCCGTCGAAATACAGATACACTCATTGACCTTGGTCTGTCTGCATCATACCCTCTTACCGTTTCGTTAATATAATACATTTTGAGTTGGTTTGCACGTCTTATTAATCGACAAACATTTGTATCTTAAGAATCCCATTCCTGTTTCACGTACACGATATCGGAATGGACAATATTTGGAGCGGTATAAATCAGTTCTTTTGTTGGAGTTATCTCCCTTGAAGCGTCTGATCCCATCGTCTCATCAACAGACTCAGGCCTATCTCGACTTCCTTCAATAGATTCGTCGCCATCAAAAGGCAAGACGCTGAACTGCGGCCGATTTTGCCTTGAGCCCCTGATCTTTCCTTTCCCACCGGAAGCCACGCAAGTGTCATAGTGCTTCCGGCGGAAGTACTTAACTCTTCCGACATTGTTCCGGTTAGGACACACCAAGCGCTCCTTGCCGCAGTTGCCACACAGAAACTTGCCCTCTGAGACCGGCGCTGAGTTGTTAAGTTCTTTCAACATGGCTGCCAGTTCGTCAAACGTCGCCTGTTGTCGGTCATTTCTGTGGACAACATCGGTTCGTCGGAGTTTATCGAATAGATCGTCATCTTCCGCCTTCTGTGGGTTTTTCTTGCGTCTCCGTTCTGGTATACCAATGTCATTATGAATGAATGGCATTGCTACTGAAACAGACACGGGTAATATGTATGAGTTTGTTTTGATTGTTTGTTGTTTAACGCTGCACTCAGCAATAGTCAAGCTATATAACGGCGGTCTGTAAATAATTAATTCTGGACAAGACAATCCAGTGGTTGACATCATGAGCATCTATCCACGCAATTGGGATACGATGACATGCATCATCAAGCGAGCCTGACCACCCGATCCCGTTAGTCGCCGCTTACGACAAGCACAGTCGCCTTTTACGGCAAGCATGGGATGCTTAAGACCTGGGCCTAGATTTTCGAAACAATCTTAGCTAAGATAAATCTTAACTACTTACGTTCAAAGATAAGATATCTTAATACTAAGATAAGATAAATTTTCGAAACAATCGTAAACCTGTCGCAGATCGCTCAGAGCTACGACACCTATCTGTAGCGGGAGAATAGCTCGAAGTCGTCAAGCGTATCGAGGGGACGAGTTCTGTCTCGGAATATCCTCTGTCTTGTCATCAAATCATTGTCATCTTCATCATGAAAAATGTCCAGAGCAAATTATACCGCCATCTTGGATGAGGATAAAATTACGAAAACTTACGACAAACTTAAGATATCTTAGGGCTACGATAGTTTCGAAAATAGGCTACGATAGCATACGATTTCTTTACGATAACTTTACGATAATTTTAGGGCTAAGATCGTTTCGAAAATCTAGGCCCTGTTCTACCCCGGATCTTTACGGGATTTTGATATTTATGATTACGTTTTGAGTAAATTTGCTTGAACATCATACAGCTTATGAAGGAAAGAAACATGTGAAACGTTGTGTATGTTTAATAAAGAAGTAGATTTCTTCACCATTCCACGTCATATTTAGATCCATCATCTAAATGCCTATGGGGGCGGTGTGGTAGCCTAGTGGTATAAGTGTTCGGTCGTTCCGGATTCGATTCCCCGCATGGGTACAATGTGTGAAAAAAATTTCTGGGGCCCCCTGCAGTGTTATTGTTGGCGTTTTGCTAAGCGCGGCGTAAAACTACTCACTCTAAATGCCTTTAAAGGGGGGGGGGGGGGGGGGGGGGGGCAGAAATGGGCTTCACACATTGTACCCATGTCGGGAATCGAACCCGGGTCTTCGGCGTGACGAACGAACACTTTAACCACTAAGCTACCCGACCGCCCCTCATGAAGAGTGAGGGATGATGCAGTATTTTACGCTGCAATAACATTAGGGATTAATTGGCCCCATGTGGAGAAACGTTTTGCGTGTTGTTTAACATGTTTAACGCCGCACACAGAAATATTCCACCTATATGACAGCGGTTGGGATACGATGACATGCATCAACTAAGTCGGCGTGCCTGACCACCCGATCCCGTTAGTCGCCTCTGACGACAAGCATAGTCGCCTTTTACGGCAAGCATGGATTGCTGAAGACCTGTTTTAACCCTGTGAGACGAGTATTGGTGATATCGCTGCTTGTTTAAATCACGAAGGAGGTGGGTGGTACAAATGCAGTTTAACGTCGCGTTCAAGATTATTGCACTTATAGAGCGCCGTGCATGAACGTTTGTATGTGCTTGTGTGGCTGCTTGTACTAATCCGGACAAATGCCAATGTTATAGTGCTAGCCTTCTGAAATACTATGTCGCGGTTTGACATCAACTACCCATTCAGCCACACTATACTAACTCCGAGCCGACCAGTCCGTTTAGGCCCTTTACGTCTAGCGCCACACAGGGTAACAACAAGTACCATCCTTTAACGTCTTTTGGTATGACGCGGCCTGAAATCGAAACCCGACCTTCCGCTCTCCGGGTAGACGCTCTACCACTAGACCTCGGAGGCGGTCAAATCACAAAGGAACAATAAATTTTGATTGGACAACTATTCGTCGCATCATTTAAATAGGCCCCAATACGAAGCTATTGTATGGAATAGGTCCAATAATAAAACAGATAATTAAAGGGGATATTATCTCCTGGTTGGTCGAGGATGAGCTTAGTGTCAATTCCATATGGCACCGACCACCGAGTGTGAAATATTTCTCAGAAATATTTTTTTTAGACTATGCTCCTAGATATATGTTTTCTCTGAAAGCAATTTCATTTTTTTTGTTTTCATATTTTTTACATATTTGAAACACATTGTTTTTATAGTGAGTGAGTGAGTTTGATTTTACGTCGCTTTTAGGAATATTCCAGGAAAATCACGGTTGGGGACATCAGAAATGGGCTTATGTCGGGAATCGAACCCGGGTCTTCGGCGTGTCGAGCGAACGCTTTAATCACAGGGCTACCCGACCGCCCCCATTATTTTTATAACACAAATTAATGTCAATATAAGTCTTATACGATATAAATGTATCGAGTTAAATGAGTATAAGCTGTATGATGAGTATAAGAGGTATCAACGCACCGTTTACAGCGAAGTACTACAGTAAACTACGGTTATAACGAACACGCTTATAACGAACTAACGGATATAACGAACTAACCTTTTAGTCCCGACTACATGCTGTAGTTATTCTGTATATATGCTTATAACAAATTACGGTTATAACGAACTAAAATTAGTAGTCCCTTTGAGTTCGTTATAACCGTAGTTTACTGTACTACATATTAATAAGGTTTTAACATTAATCAAAATTATTTTTGTCTTACGTTCTTCCATCTGGTCTTCTTTCTGGAATACCACCGAGTGCTGAATATCCGGGTCTCGTCTCATCGACTGACCTCCCGATGCCATAGGAACGATCAAAATTGACCCTGGGCGACCTTTGACACAAGCTATGATCTTCTTACAGATGATGATCTCAAGTGTGTCATTTCTGTTGGCGCGCAGTTTCAACATCTGCATACTATACTGGTGCTGGGTCCTCACAGCGAACCGCTCGTTATTGTCGCTCACACGATATAACAGAACATCATATTGAACAAATCCCAGCTCCTCCGCAATGCTATCTATTCCAACGAAATCCATTACGAAGTGTTTAAACTCCGACACATGGTGAAATAACATCGGTATCTGAACCTCGGAATTCTCCTTTAAGATCTCGTGCCCATGCTCGTCAATGCCATAAATTACGGCCTTAAATTCAACTGAGTCAGCGCCGGACATACTCGCATTCATTTCCAGGCCGGTGCACGACGCGCCACTGTTATTAGTCGTACGTACGATAGTATAAGCTTACGCGTGGGAAAGGAGAATTCTCGCTGATGTTGAGCTTCCTTGTGCATTAAATTGTCCTCTGCTGTCTGCGCTGGGTTAAGTGAAGCTTCTTTCTGCACTGATCCTGAGAATATAACACGAATACGTCCCGTTCACAGACAGTGGCGTATGGGAATTGATGCATCCCACATATTTTCGGCGTTTTTCCCAAATTCCCAAACTTGGCGTATCGACAGGCGCCAGTGAAACAGGTACTCGCGATACTATTGTCGACACAACTGTTACAAATGTACTAATTGCGATATCGCGCTGAAATGACTCGCGCTACAATTTGCTAGGATAAGTAAGTAATATTGAATTATTAAGTATTCCTCTAACGCTGTCATTTTAAACTAATAGTCGCGACATTGAATTATGCTAGTTTCAGGACCTCAAATGAAATCGCATTCATCATATTTTATGAATGTTTTGTTTTCATTCCTCGCAGTAATCTTCACGATAACGGCACTGACAAAGCATATAATTATGTAATATCGTCGCTATTCAACTGAGGACACGGTTGTTTTTGCAAACAATATAATTACTAACTGAAACGAACTTCGATATTATTTATGATTACATAGAGACGAAATTTGAGGATTGGTCTGTTTAAGGAAAACAAACTATAACGGCAAGGATGAGGATATTCTGATGTGGAATTGGGTGTGGGGTCGGATGTGGGTGTGTGGGGTCGGATGTGGGTGTGTGGGGTCGGATGTGGGTGTGTGGGGTGGGATGTGATGTGGGTGTGTGGCATGTGGGTGTGTGGAGTGTGGGTTGTGATGTGGGCGTATGGCATGTGGGTTGTGATGTAGGTGTGTGGCGTGTGTGGCATGTGGGTTGTGATGTAGGTGTATAGGGTCTGGGTTGGGATGTGGGTGTGTGGGTGTGTGGGGTGTGGGTTGGGATGTGGGTGTGTGGGTGTGTGGGGTGTGGGTAGCGATGTGGGTGTATAGGGTGTGGGTTGTGATGTGGGTGTGTGGGTGTGTGGGGTGTGGGTTGTGATGTGGGTGTGTGGGGTGTAATGTGGGTGTGTGGGTGTGTGGGGTGTGGGTTGGGATTTGGGTGTTTGGGTGTGTGGGGTGTGGGTTGGGATGTGGGTGTGTGGGTGTGTGGGGTGTGGGGTGGGATGTGGGTGTGTGGGTGTGTGGGGTGTGGGTTGGGATGTGGGTGTGTGGGTAGCGATGTGGGTGTGTGGGGTGTGGGTTGAGATGTGGGTGTGTGGGTGTGTGGGGTGTGGGTTGGGATGTGGGTGTGTGTGTGTGGGGTGTGGGTTGTGATGTGGGTGTGTGGGGTGTGGGTTGTGATGTGGCCGTGTGGGGTGTGGGTAGCGATGTGGGTGTGTGGGTTGTGATGTGGATGTGTTGCGATGTGGGTAGCGATGTGGGTGTGTGGGGTGTGGGTTGTGATGAGGGTGTGTGGGTGTGTGGGGTGTGGGTTGGGATGTGGGTGTGTGGGTGTGTGGGGTGTGGGTTGTGGGTAGCGATGTGGGTGTATAGGGTGTGTGTTGTGATGTGGGTGTGTGGGTGTGTGGTGTGTGGGTTGGGATGTGGGTGTGTGGGGTGTGATGTGGGTGTGTGGGTGTGTGGGGTGTGGGTTGGGATGTGGGTGTGTGGGTGTGTTGGGTGTGGGTTGGGATGTGGGTGTGTGAGTGTGTGGGGTGTGGGTTGTGATGTGGGTGTGTGGGTGTGTGGGGTGTGGGTTGGGATGTGGGTGTGTGGGTGTGTGGGGTGTGGGTTGGTATGTGGGTGTGTGGGTGTGTGGGGTGTGGGTTGTGATGTGGGTGTGTGGGGTGTGGGGTGTGATGTGGGTGTGTGGGTTGCGATGTGGGTGTGTGGGTTGTGATGTGGGTGTGTTGGGTGTGGGTAGCGATGTGGGTGTGTGGGGTGTGGGTTGTGATGTGGGTGTGTGGGTGTGTGGGGTGTGGGTTGTGATGTGGGTGTGTGGGTGTGTGGGGTGTGGGGTGTGGGTAGCGATGTGGGTGTATAGGGTGTGGGTTGTGATGTGGCCGTGTGGGGTGTGGGTAGCGATGTGGGTGTGTGGGTTGTGATGTGGGTGTGTTACGATGTGGGTAGCGATGTGGGTGTGTGGGGTGTGGGTTGTGATGAGGGTGTGTGGGTGTGTGGGGTGTGGGGTGGGATGTGGGTGTGTGGGTGTGTGGGTGTGTGGGGTGTGGGTAGCGATGTGGGTGTATAGGGTGTGGGTTGTGATGTGGGTGTGTGGTGTGTGGGGTGTGGGTTGGGATGTGGGTGTGTGGGTGTGTGGGGTGTGGGTTGTGATGTGGGTGTGTGGTGTGTGGGGTGTGGGTTGGGATGTGGGTGTGTGGGTGTGTGGGGTGTAGGTTGGGATGTGGGTGTGTGTGTGTGGGTGTGTGGGTAGCGATGTGGGTGTGGGGGTGTGGGTTGGGATGTGGGTGTGTGGGGTGTGATGTGGGTGTGTGGGGTGTGGGTTGGGATGTGGGTGTGTGGGTGTGTGGGGTGTGGGTTGGGATGTGGGTGTGTGAGTGTGTTGGGTGTGGGGTGGGATGTGGGTGTGTGGGTGTGTGGGTAGCGATGTGGGTGTGTGGGGTGTGGGTTGGGATGTGGGTGTGTGGGTGTGTGGGGTGTGGGTTGGGATGTGGGTGTGTGGGTGTGTGGGGTGTGGGTTGGGATGTGGGTGTGTGGGTGTGTGGGGTGTGGGGTGTGATGTGGGTGTGTGGGTTGCGATGTGGGTGTGTGGGTTGTGATGTGGGTGTGTGGGTGTGTGGGGTGTGGGTTGGGATGTGGGTGTGTGGGTGTGTGGGGTGTGGGTTGGGATGTGGGTGTGTGAGTGTGTGGGGTGTGGGGTGTGGGTTGGGATGTGTGTGTGTGGGTGTGTGGGTAGCGATGTGGGTGTGTGGGATGTGGGTTGTGATGTGGGTGTGTGGGTGTGTGGGGTGTGGGTTGGGAAGTGGGTGTGTGGGGTGTGGGTTGTGATGTGGATGTGTGGGTGTGTTGGGTGTGGGTTGTGATGTGGGTGTGTGGGGTGTGGGGTGTGATGTGGGTGTGTGGGTTGCGATGTGGGTGTGTGGGTTGTGATGTGGGTGTGTAGGGTGTGGGTAGCGATGCGGGTGTGTGGGGTGTGGGTTGTGATGTGGGTGTGTGGGTGTGTGGGGTGTGGGTTGGGATGTGGGTGTGTGGGTGTGTGGGGTGTGAGTAGCGATGTGGGTGTATAGGGTGTGGGTTGTGATGTGGGTGTGTGGGGTGTGGGTTGGGATGTGGGTGTGTGGTGTGTGATGTGGGTGTGTGGGTGTGTGGGGTGTGGGTTGGGATGTGGGTGTGTGGGTGTGTGGGGTGTGGGTTGGGATTTGGGTGTGTGGGTGTGTGGGGTGTGGGTTGGGATGTGGGTGTGTGGGTGTGTGGGGTGTGGGTTGGGATCTGGGTGTTTGGGTAGCGATGTGGGTGTGTGGGGTGTGGGTTGAGATGTGGGTGTGTGGGTGTGTGGGGTGTGGGTTGTGATGTGGGTGTGTGGGGTGTGGGGTGTGATGTGGGTGTGTGGGTTGCGATGTGGGTGTGTGGGTTGTGATGTGGGTGTGTGGGTGTGTGGGGTGTGGGGTGTGGGTAGCGATGTGGGTGTATAGGGTGTGGGTTGTGATGTGGGTGTGTGGGTGTGTGGGGTGTGGGTTGGGATGTGGGTGTGTGGGGTGTGATGTGGGTGTGTGGGTTTGTGGGGTGTGGGTTGGGATGTGGGTGTGTGGGTGTGTTGGGTGTGGGTTGTGATGTGGGTGTGTGAGTGTGTGGGGTGTGGGTTGGGATGTGGGTGTGTGGGTGTGTGGGTAACGATGTGGGTGTGTGGGGTGTGGGTTGGGATGTGGGTGTGTGGGTGTGTGGGGTGTGGGTTGGGATGTGGGTGTGTTGGGTGTCGGGTGTGATGTGGGTGTGTGGGTTGCGATGTGGGTGTGTGGGTTGTGATGTGGGTGTGTGGGGTGTGGGTAGCGATGTGGGTGTGTGGGGTGTGGGTTGTGATGTGGGTGTGTGGGTGTGTGGGGTGTGGGATGGGATGTGGGTGTGTGGGGTGTGGGTAGCGATGTGGGTGTATAGGGTGTGGGTTGTGATGTGCTTGTGTGGGTTTGTGGGATGTGGGTTGGGATGTGGGTGTGTGGGGTGTGATGTGGGTGTGTGGGTGTGTGGGGTGTGGGTTGGGATGTGGGTGTGTGGGTGTGTGGGGTGTGGGTTGGGATCTGGGTGTGTGGGGTGTGATGTGGGTGTGTGGGTGTGTGGGGTGTGGGTTGGGATGTGGGTGTGTGGGTGTGTGGGGTGTGGGTTGGGATGTGGGTGTGTGGGTGTGTGGGGTGTGGGTTGGGATGTGGGTGTGTGGGGTGTGATGTGGGTGTGTGTGATGTGGGTAGCGATGTTGGTGTGTGGGGTGTGGGATGTGGGTGTGTGGTGTGTGGGATGTGGGTGTGTGGGTGTGTGGGTAGCGATGTGGGTGTGTGAGGTGTGGGTTGGGATGTGGGTGTGTGGGGTGTGGGTTGGGATGTGGGTGTGTGGGTGTGTGGGGTGTGGGTTGTGATGTGGTTGTGTGGGTGTGTGGGGTGTGGGTTGGGATGTGGGTGTGTGGGTGTGTGGGTAGCGATGTGGGTGTGTGGGGTGTGGGTTGTGATGTGGGTGTGTGGGTGTGTGGGGTATGGGTTGGGATGTGGGTGTGTGGGGTGGGATGTGGGTGTGTGGGTGTGTGGGGTGTTGGTTGGGATGTGGGTGTGTGGGTGTGGGGGGTTTTGGGTTGGGATGTGGGTGTGTGGGTGTGTGGGGTGTGGGTTGTGATGTGGGTGTGTGGGGTGTGGGTTGTGATGTGGGTGTGTGGGTTGTGATGTGGGTGTATGGGGTGTGATGTGGATGTGTGGGTTGCGATGTGGGTGTGTGGGTTGTGATGTGGGTGTGTGGGTTGCGATGTGGGTGTGGGTTGTGATGTGGGTGTGTGGGTTGCGATGTGGGTGTGTGGGTTGCGATGTGGGTGTGTGGAGTGTGGGTTGGGATGTGGGTGTGTGGGTTGGGATGTGGGTGTTTGGGTTGGGATGTGGGTGTGTGGGTTGCGATGTGGGTGTGTGGGTTGCGATGTGGGTGTGTGGAGTGTGGGTTGGGATGTGGGTGTGTGGGTTGGGATTTGGGTGTGTGGGTTGCGATGTGGGTGTGTGGAGTGTGGGTTGCGATGTGGGTGTGTGGAGTGTGGGTTGCGATGTGGGAGTGTGTGTTGCGATGT